CAGGAGAAGTGGCGAGTGTCTGTCCCTGAAGAGGATGTGCGTACACACTGATTGCCGTTGGCCTTGACTGGTTTGGAAGCTTTGTGGTGGGCTGGGGGGCTAGACAGATATCCTTGGAGACTTCTGCACCCTGAGCTTTATGCTAGAGAGGGAGGGGGGTGGCAGGGTCACGGGCCTCAGTTCACGCTTCTGCACTGGGATGCCCACCAGCAGCATGGGGTTCCCGGAGGGGTGGGAAATCCACACCCTGGTACCAGAACCGCGCGGGTCCTCGTGCACACCGCCATAAAGCGTGTTGCCGAGGGCACTGGGGCTCCATTAGGGCTGTGCTGCAGCGGCTTCCTGCTCCTGTGACTGGGGTTTTGGCAGAGTCCTGTGGAGAAATGTCTGGTGCCCGGCCCAGGGGAGCTGCCCCGGGGGAGCTGACTGGACGCAGCAGCTCACCTCCAGCTGCTGCAGGCTTCTCAACAGGAAAGCGCCGGGAGGAAGGACTGACAGCCCTGGTGACGGACAGAAGGTTCCGGCCACGGGGGCAGTTGGAAGTGTGTGGTGTGGGGACCTGGGGATGAGAGGGAGGCAGCAGGAGGGAGGGTCTCACCGTGCCCCCCAGTCGTGCGTGCTGGGTAAGTTGAGGAGTCTGTTTCTCATTAAGTACAGGGGAGGCTTTCCTCACTTACAGGAAAACCACCCACTTATCTGAAATCTGACCTACTTCGGGTTGGAGCCAGACAGGGCTCCTCATCCCACAGGGACACTGGGGCTGTAGTGGTCCACATCCGTGCATCCCGCCAGGCTTCGGGAAAGAGCAGCAACCCACCGCCACTTCCATGGTCCTCAGAGGCACTGGGGCCGGCGGCCGAGGTCACCCTCCTGGGGTGTCATAGGTGGTGAGGTAGGCTCCACAGGGCCCAAAGTCTGAGATCCTGAGGATCTTTGCTGCACCCAAGATGCTGCAGATGGCAGCCCTGCCCTCCCGGCTTGCCACGCCCCTGGGACTTGAGTCCCACGTCCTTGCTCGAGGGACTTGCATCATGATGGAGTTGGAGGGGCTCTGGGCTCGGAGGGTCCCAGCATCTTCTGGAAGTGGATGGACTTGGGCCAGTTGTCTGTAAGCCTCTGGCCTCCCACTTCTGTGCTCCGCAATAGCTTACACCACGTTTTTTAAAGCCACTTCTTAGTCCTACCAAAGGTGACATTTTATTTGGTAGATGTAGTTTCCTGGGCACCAAGAGAAATGCAGATTAGAAATGGACAGTCCTCATTTGGGAAGGCTTCCTGGAGATAGTAGCCTCAAGTTCTGATAAATAAACAGCAAAGGGAAGACAGAGCAGGACGGTGGGAAGAACGAGGAACAGGAATAATACTTGGCTAAAGCTGGTATGGCAGCACCAGCCGAGGGGCGGAGGGAGGAAGGGCAAAGGCTTCGGTCAGAATGGATCCAGGCCTCCCCGGGGGGCCCTGGGAGGGGCTGGCCTGTGCCCAAGGGTGCCGGAGTGCATGATGCAGCTTGCTCCTAGCCTTGTTGGCCTCCTCTTCCTCTGCCCAACTTTGTTTCAGATGGGGACGGATGTCCTACAACAGAGAGGTAGTTGAGGGCGGGGCCTCAGCGGCTCTTGGCCCCCAGTCCTCCTGCTGTGCGCGGTGCTCCAGGACAGAAGGGGTCACCCCCTGCCCCGGAGCCAGACTTCCAGGGCGCCTCCCTGAGCATGTACTGCATGAGCTGAGGGAGCACACGGGATGAAGGGGATAGCTCAGGGGAATAGTGCAGAGAGCCGACAGGTCGGCCATGGTGGTGGAGGGAAGAGCTGTGCCCCCCGCGAGCCATCTGTAGGTCCAGACTGGGCTGAGAAACTGTCCTCTCTCAGCTCTGCGTGCGCTGAGCCCCAGAAAGCCCTGTGTGGAGGGCAGGGGGAGGGCTGGAGGGACCGTGGCAGAAGGAGCCAGCTGGGAAATGCCCTTCCCCTGTGGCACCGCGGTCCCTGGCTGGGGAAGAGCTGCCTGCCGCACGAACTGCCCCAGTCCTTCTCCTGTAGGAGCTCCTCAGCTTCTCCATCCCGGCCGGGCCGCAGCGCCCCCTCCGCAGCACCCTGGCTCAGCGCCCCCCGCAGTGCCCAGTCGTAGCACCCCGGCTCAGTGGACCCTCGCAGCGCCCCGCCGCAGCACCCTGGCTCAGCACCCCCCCGCAGCACCCCGCCATAGCACCTCGGCTCAGCGGCCCCCCTCAGCTCCCCACTGCAGCACGCCGGCTCAGCGGACCCCCGCAGCACCTGGCTCAGCGGACCCCCGCAGCACCCCCCACAGCGTCCCGCCGCAGCACCCCCCACAGCGTCCCGCCGCAGCTCGGGAATGGAGCGGGTGGGATGATGCAGGGGTGCCAGTGGGTGAGGTGACCAGGGGAGACTTACCCCACCCTGGTCTTGGGTCCTGGGCCTACAGCTGGAGGCCCTGCGAGTACGGGGGGGTGGGGTCTTATCCTTTGGCCTGGGAGGGGCCCCTGGTACCCGGGGAGCACGGGATTGGGCTGACTGGATGTGGGCCTGACTGCCTCCAGCTCCCTGTCACCTCCCCTCTGCAGACCTCAGCTTCCTATTTGGTGGAACCCAAAAGAAAAGCAGCCACAAAGGGTCCGCTGTGCCCTGGAGCCCCAGCAGTCCTGCTTCCCTGAGCCCCTCACTGACCGTCCAGCCGCCCCGTGTGCAAGCAAGGAGGTGCTCCGTGGGGGCCAGTGGCGCAGGGGAAGGGCAGCCATGCCACTAGCCAGCACCACGCCACAACAGTGCCCAGGCTTCTCGCTGATGCCACTGCCCGATTCTCCCAGCACCCCTTGGGCAAGCCAACCCCTAGCCGTGTGGCGCTGCCAAGGGAGGGAGAGCTTTGCTGCCCCCCTTTTTGCTCCTTCAGAAACACCAACGGGGGTCACTAGGCACTTCTGCCCCCTCCCTGCAGCGGCCCGTTGTATCCCCAGGTATAAGGAAATGCTGTTTTCAGACCCTAACTTCCAGCTCTGACAGTAAGCCTCTTGTTCTGCCCCCTCCGCTCCTGCAGGAGCGCCCCCCCCAGTCTGCTCTGAGACAGCCTTCTGCTCCCCTGCCCTCCCCTCCCCGTCCAACTCGCTCCCCATCTCTCCTCTTGCTCAGGAGACCTGCCGACAGAAGGGAGTGGAACCCCGACTGTTGACTCAGCAGCCGAAGCCCTCCTTCAGCCGATGAACACGGGCTGGGCAGGCGGGGGGAGGCACTGATCATGGGGGCTGGTGCCGCTGCCAGGCTGGGGGTGGCGTGGCCGCCGCCCGCAACACCTCGGTCCGGGGAGCGCCGCTTCAGGGGAGGGTCTGCGGGATTTCTGTGCCTCAGCAGGTTCTGGGCCCTCTCGGCAGGAGGGGGGGCCCCGACCGGACTGTCTTGACTAGGCTCTCGTGGGACAGAGAGTGTAAGGACTGGCCACACCGATGGGAGCACAGGAGCACCCAGAGCCTCGAGCAGCTCCTCAGGGGCACACCGAGCAGCTCCTCAGGGGCACACCTTGGCCCGGCCTCAGAGAGCCAGTCAGAGATAAACAAGCCCCAAGGCAGATTCCTCCAGGGGGTCAAAGCCCAGAGCTTTGCCCAGGGCAGGTGGCAGGTCCTGAAGTGGGTCTGGGTAGAGAGGGGAAGAAGCCTCACAAAGGGGACAGGGGAGGAATGGGCTCCTGACTGGGGCAAGGCCAAAGCCCAAGAGGCTGGGAAGACAGATTCTCAGCCACTGCGGGAGGCCCCCCAGTCCTGTACTGGTAGGGGAGTTGGGGAAGGGGTGCAGGGCCTTCCCCTCAACCACTCTCCTCCCTGTCCCTCTTTCTTTCCTGGCGTCCCCCAGGTGATGCAGCCACCCCACTGCCCCTGGCCACCTGCCCAGCCCAGCCAAGAGAGACTTTGTGGTTCCTTGCCTTGCAGCCCTCCAGCCCCCAGATTCGTGACCCTTACCCCCAGACCCGCTCCTTTCACTGCAGTGGCATTTCAACCCTTTGCCTTCCACGATAGGAGAAAAAGAGAAAGTGTGTGAGACAGATAGAAGGAGGCTGGAGTACTTGGATCCCAGTGGGGAGAGGTGGTTGGCGATGATTTATTAGCCAGACAAGAATCAACAAACAAGTTCTAACATCTGTTCTCGCCAAACCCTTCCTCAGACAACAGCAGCACTGGACCAAGGCCCAGACCCAAAGGCTCAGAGGGCCAAGGAAATCAGACTCTGAGAGGAGAAGCCAGGGCAGTGGGAGGCGGCAGGGCCATCCTAGCACACTTCCTCAGAGGCCCTTGGATCACCGAGCCACCGGATTCTCGGGGACTTTTGGGACAGAACCGGTGCGTGTGTCCCTAAAAGGGAGCTGAGTCCACCTTTGCATCTCAAACTCCAGGCTTCTTTCGGGGGCGGGGGGCAGACCTGTCCAGGAAACAGGGCTAAGCTGGGATCTGGAGGAGGGAAATGGCACCCAGGCCTCCGAGCCGTGGAACTCTGGAAAGTAGCCAGATTGCCTGAGGAAATCTCTTGACGTCTCCTGTGGAGAGGAGGATGCGGGGTAAGAGAGCGCCACACGGGAACGATGAAGCCTGGGTTCTAGTCCTTGGCTTTGGCTGAGTCACTACCCCTCTCTGGCTTTGTCTCCTCTTATCTGCACCGCCAGGGACTTGGCCTGGATCAGTACGGGCAAAGGAGACACTGCTCCTTTTGCCTCCCTGCCCACAGCAGACATCACTAATCAATCATGGTGCTCTTTTCTGCTGAGTGTGGAGATGACCGAGCATCCTTCCCAGGGCAGTGCTCCAGGCAGCCACGACCAACGGATGGCAGTTGGCATGCAAGATGACACCTTTGCGCTATCTTCGCAACAGGTGATGGCCGAGGTCCTTGCTAGCTCTGATCGCCTACGGTTTGTTCCACACACATTTCCTGAGAAGGGCATCCGGTGTGCAAAGGTCTGCAGACCCGGTATTCTGGGCTGTCCTCCCCCAGTTCAGACTCACCCGGCTACTGAGGAGGCCCCAGGGGAAGCCACGCCTGTCCTTTGTCCTCTGTCCTCTGTCTAGAAAGCTTGTGGGGGAGGGTGTGCCCCCAGCTGGGCAGGGGCTGGTGGGGCACGGGAGGGCCTTGTCCAGGCACAGAGTTCTCAGAGTGCGGTTGCCGGCCACCTGGAATCTGCAGAGAGAAGGATGATCCGAGGTCACATCCTCTACCCTCTGCCTCTCAGGCCTACCTGCAGCCTCAAGGGCTGTCCTCTGGTCTTAACGGATGTTGGCCTGCACAGAGGAGGTCTAAACCGCTCTCATTCATTCAGCAACCATTTTCTGAGCACCTGCTCTGTGCCAGGCATTGTGCTGGGTGCTCTGGAGACAGATGAATACGTCCCAGCCCCTGCTCTCAGGCAGCTTGCCCTCTGCTGGGGAAGAGGGGAGACAGGTGTCCCAGGTGATCAGTGACGCAGCAGGTGTGTATAAAGCGCAGTGGATGGCCTCTGTGGTCGTGTTGGGAAGTCTGCAGGGAGAAGGGCAAGCTGGTCTTGAAGGATGACTAGAAGGTCACCGGGCAGCGGGAGGGCGTGCTCAGAGAGACGTGAACAGCTCTGGGAGGATGGAGCAGCTGAGGAGGTGGTCCTCTGCCTCCACCACTATGGACAGCCGCGTGGGCCAGGTAGCTGTTTTAGAAAGACCATTCTAGCCTCCCTGGGGCAGAGTGAAATCAGAAGTGGAAAGATTGGTGGTTAGACCAGTTAAGAAGCTCTTGGAAAATCCCGATGAGGAATGATGAGGCTGACACCAGGGAAAGAGACCCAGCAGGGATCGGGGCCTATGAGGAGTCGGGGTGGGAAGGGGCTGTCGAGGGAGCCCTGGGGCTTCTGGCTTGGATAGTCAGGTGGCTGGAGAGACATCAGTCTGGCTGGGAGACAGAGGAGGGGCAGTCTGGGGAGAAGGGTGAGAGCGGGTTGCTGTGTGGAGTTCAGGAGGCCGTGGGGTGCTGGGGGCTGAGCGGGAGCCTGCAGGGCAGTGGGCATGGACAGGGGTGGGCTGCTGGCTCATCTCTAGCACCGTAGCAGGGGGTGGGGGTTGGGGGTACAGGCTCAGGGGCTGAGGCAGGCCTGGGGCATGGCAGGGAGGGTGGCGAAGGGCCTGCGGAGGGGGGCAGAGGCCCAGGGAGAGGGTGGGAGTGGCCAGGAGGTCCAGCGCAGCCCTGGCCTGGGACACCGACTCACAGGATCAGAGGACAGGGGAGGTGGTGGGGGTAGAAGTAGGAGGGGGGAGCGTGTGGAGGAGCAGGTGTGCAGGTGCCCCCTCCCCTGAGCTCATCTGAGATGGCACGAGGGACTTCGAGGGCTCTTCTTCCTCAGGATGGCGGGCCTGTGAAGGCGGAGGGGAGGGAGCCAGAGCAGCAGAGGCCCAAGTTCCAACCAGGAAGACAGGAGGATGGCTGGAGCCAAGATGGGGGCACAGGACAGGGTACAGGTGGCCGAGACTGGGTGAGAGGGACAGGGACAAAAATGCAGGCTCCCCGGGGGGGGGGGGGAACCGAAGCCTGGGCCACTATCTCCTCTGAGAAGTGGAGGGGGTTGACCAAGGGGAGGCCGGTCCCGTGCCTGCAGGGAGAGGACAGGGAGCCACTTCTGGGCCGGGGAAAGGGCCACTGGCGGACGGAGCCTCCGTCTTTCCCATGCGGCCTCAGACCTCTGACTCTCACCCTGACCCCGGCATCCACTCTGAACACCTGCCCTGCGCTCCCCAATCTGTCTTTCAGGACCTCCTCCCAGCGGCCCGCCTCCTCCTGCGCCGCTTTACCTGGCCTCCCGCGACGGGCCTGGACCTGCACTTGCGCAGGGCCAGGTGCCCGAGGCCGCAGGGCTGGCCCCCAGCGCCCGGCGGCACCTCCACCTCGGCGTAGACGTTGCTGGGGGCTTCCCCCGGGCTGCCCCGCCCCATGGCATAGAAGGCGATGGGTTCGTCAGGCTCGTGGTAGATGGGGTTGGAGGGCTTGGGGGGCGGGGCCGGGCGCGGCCTCGGGGCCGGGCTCGTGTAGACTTCGGGGGGCAGCTGAGGCTTGACGGCCACGGGAGGCTTGGGCCTGGGCGGCTGGGGAGACGGGGTGAGAAGGCCAGGCCGGGGGAGGAGGGGGCGTCAGAGCGACCCAGGCCGGGCGGAGGCTGCAGCCCCCGGGGCCCCTCCCCTCCCGCAGGCCCCGCCCCAGCGCTGGACCCTCCCTTTGCCTCACCCCCTTCCCCTCCCTCAGCCCCTGCAGCCCAATACCTCCTTCTGTTCCCCGGGCCCCTCCTTCGGCGTGGGGGTCACGTTCTGCAACTTCTTGACGATCGGGCTATACTGAGGGTGTGGGTCCTTGTTTCCAGAGTCTGATATTTCAGTGCTCAGGGAAAGTCCTGCAGGCTCAGGCGTCTGCTGGGCAAGAACGAGGCCTCAGGGATTTGGTGCAGTGGGATGGTGGGTGGGGGTGGCCAGGGGATCCAGGAGGACAAAGCAAGCTGGTGCTGGTGGAGGATGTGTGGGGGAGGGGCACAGAAATGTGGACTGGGGGGTTCCCTGGGTGAGGAACAGGGGATGGAGATGGTAAGGGGACCAACGGGGGTGGTGGGGGTTGGGGGGGTAAGTAGCTCTGGTCACAGGCTGTGTCTAGCATTGACCTTAATTCCACCCGGAACACAGGCCAGGCCAGTCTCCATTTGTGCCTGTGGTTGTAAAAATGCAACAAGGCTTGACGGGAAGGCGGCTCCTGCGGCCGGGGTCCCAGCGTACCGGGGTCCGGGCGTACCTGGCGGACGAGGGGCTCGGTGAGCGTCTCCCCGTAGGGGCTGAGCGGGCACGCAGTGTAGTGTCGCAGTAGGTCCTGCAGCCGCGCGTGGGCGCTGTGCTCGCCCAGCACCACGTGGCGCCCGTCCCGGAGCTGGGCCAGCAGGAAGTGGCGGCAGCGAGTCCGGCTCCTGGAGGGCGCCCGTCGGATCAGAGCCGCACGCCGTGCCAGGCCCTCCCTCCCAGCCGGCCCCTGTCCCTCCCGCGTCAGGAGCACCCAGCCTACCCCGCCGCTGGGCCGAAGCTCCGCCTCCGGGCTCCCGCCCCTCACCTGTAGGTTAGCACGAAGGTCACAGCGCTCTCGCTGAACCGCACCAAGTAGCATCCCTCAGGCTTGGGCTCCAGCAGCCTCTCGGCCTCCCTGTGGGCGATGGAGAAGACTCTTCCAGCCTCAGGCCTGTCCCCGGCTCTCCGGCGGACCCCAGTCCACAGCCAAGCGGGTTCAGGTGTCGGAGGAGGGTGGGAATGGCAGAGACGATGGGGGTTGGCTGTCCCGCGCAGGGACTGGAGAGCACAGGGGCCAGGGGTCCCACCCAGGAGAGCTCCCAGCCCTGCATCCTCCTGCGGCCTCATCCTGGAGGGCAGCCTGGTGGGGGTGCCCTGGGGTGGTAATTGACTACAGGCTGGGGAAGAGGAAAGCAAAGCTGAGAAATGTGGCGGGAGGGATGGCCTAGCAGGGAGACTAGGAAGGCTGGTAGACCGGAGAAACCATGAGGACTAGAGGCCAAGACACAGGTACGGAAGCAGAGGCCCCAGAGCGAGCGGGCTGCAGCCTCTGCGGTGACCTCCCCCAGGACAGATGCCTCAGAGATTGGCCTGGGAGCCTCCGGGATTCAGGGCTGGACTTGCAGCCTCCACGCACTGCTGCTGGGCCCGGGACCCAGGACTTGCCCAGCCCCTCTCTGGGCCCCTTTCTGCCGCTGTGACTCACCTCCGGGTGATGAAGCCATGGAACCAGGCAGGGGCTGCCCCGTGCTGCAGGAGCCAGTGGGCCTGGGTCCTCTGGAACCAAGCCCGGGTCTCGGCCTGCAGGGACTGGCCTCCTTCCTCAAGCCCCTCCTCGGCCTTCCCAGCATCCTCTGGGCTGGAGGCAGCCCCTGGGGGTTGAGGAGATGCCTGGAACAGGGGAAAAATTCAAGGGGGAGGAAATAACCATGATTCATGGGCTTCCTCCTGGTGCCATCCCACCACCGCCTCCTCAGCCTCACCCCTGCTCCCCATCCCAGTTGCCCATTTTAGGCCATAACTGCCCAGAAAGTGCCTCTCAGGGTCCAGCTTAAATCCCCTTCTTTAGCTCCACCTGCTTTGGTTTCCAGGGGATTTCTGTCCACTTCGCTCTGGGCCTGAGGGCCTTTTTATTTAACCCAGGAGCAGTGAGCTCTTAATCTGAGCTTCAATGAGTGTGAGGCCTTCCAGAAAGACAGGAAATCATTCCCTGGGCTGCAGGATGAGGGACATGATGCTGCCTGTCACCCCAGAGGACAGAACGAGGGAGGACTCACCCTCCCGTAGGAGGGGCTGGGCTGGATCCTAGGGAGGACTTCCTAATGGACCGCTGGGTGAGAGGGACTGAGGCCTGGATGCACTGGGCAGGTGGAGGCCACGGACGGAGATGCAGATGCCTGCTTCTGGGAGTCGGTACCCTGTACCCTGGTCACCCGCGGACTCAGCCCCAGCGTCCCAGGACAGCGAGGGGACACTCTAGTGAAGGAAGGAGATACTCCCCATCTCCTTTCCCTCTCTCCGTCCATGCCCTAGCCCTGTTGGCAGCCCCAGATTATTCCTGCTTTCTCCCCGTTGGCCTTGGTCCATCTGCAAGTCCTCACCGCTGGGGGGACGGGAGCTGAGGAGGACGATGTGCCAGCCGAGTTCCCACCTGCCGCAGCATGGACAGCTTCAACCCTGGGGCTGGGCCGGGCCTCCTCAGCCTTCAGGGCCTGGAGTCTGGGTCCCTGAAGCAGGCCCACATCCTGGTAGGTCCTGCAGGGCAGTTCCACGGGCTGGAAGGTGCTGAAGGTAGGCGCAGGGGCTCGGCCGCTTCCTGTTAGCACAAAGAGGACAGCGGGGGTTTCTCGGGGAGGGACTGCCTCTCCTCCAGGCTCCCAGGGGCCCCGCATGCCTCTGACCAGGGACCTGGAGGACAGGGACAGTCACGAGAGGAGAAATGCAGGTAGGACCCCAGGGTGTCTCTCCCAGGGGAGGAGTAGAGAGCCGAGGAGGCCCTGGGTGGCCAGGGAGGCAGGGTGTGGGGGAGCAGAGAGTCCCACAGTGAGGGGTGCAGGGTGTGGGGGGTGGCGAGACGTCTCTTTATGGCCAAGATCCTCTGCCTCCCGGGCCTCATTCTCCTGCTCCCTCCTCTCTAAGAAGCACTCCGCAGACCCAGCCGCCTATGTCTGCGGGGCTGAGTGGACTGGCGCCCCGGAGAAGGAGAAGAAGCTGTGGGCACCCCGCCAGTCAGCCATGCCAGCCCTGGTTCGGGGTGGGGCCCTTCACCCTTGAAGTGGGACAGCAGGGGTAATGGGGGTCTGGATGTCCCTCCACCCACAGTCCCCAACCTCACACTTACCTTGGGGGCATATCTGGGCCAGGGGGAGCTCCATGGGCCGGCCTGAGAACAGAGCCCCGGAGCAGGGTGTGTGTAAAAGTGTGTGTATGTGCTCTGAAAAGATGTGCACACTCAGCAACTCATCTCTCTCCCCCCGGCCCCCGAGGGCAGGAAATGTCGCCTTCCCCACAGCCCTAGCCCTGGCAGAGGACCCACGTCATGGAAAGCCGTAAGACACTTGTCCCTCCCCCGGAAGCCAGGCAGCTGAAGGTGGTGGTGGTGTGGTGGTGGGTATTTGTGTCATTCTGTGTCTGGGTTTTGGGAAGTCCTGAGTGCCCTCTGACCTCGATCCCTCCTGTTTCTCCCTCCCCTCCCTCACCCCAGACCGGGACTCCCTTTTCTCTCTCTGCCTCCCTCCCTGTCTCTCCCTCAGCTTCGGTTCAGAGCACTAGCAATGGGGATGTCAAACTCAAAAGGATAAGCCCTAGTATGGTGCCTGGGCTTCGGGCTCCTGGGAGATTCCTACGCAGGATTATGCTCGTAGGACACATGAGGAGTGAAGGGGGCAGAGCTGCAACAGGAAGGATGTGGGGCAGGCCTCTGGAAGGACTTTCTGAGCTCATACAAATCTGTGAGATAAGGGGGTGGGACTTCAAGGGGGACTGGTTTCACCTTCCAGCAGATAATGAAGCTGGGTTAGGGCAAAACCCAGCAATCCTGGGGGAGGGAGGGACCGTCCTGGGGGCAGCGGGTGGTGATCAGAAGCAACGTTATTAGCAGTTATTGGAACATAGACGCTGACTTCTTAAAGTCACAGTGTGCTGATACCTCCTGCCACACCAGAGACCAATCCCATTGTTCTCATTCGATGCTCGCCAATAAAGGACAAGGAACATTACCCCCATTTCCCAGAAGGGTACACTGAAGCTCAGAGAAGTTAAGTGCTGTGGCCAGGTGTTTCAGTGTCTCAGAAGTTGGGATTAGAAACTAGATCTTCCTTTAATAATTTCACCGTGATTTAAGCCAACAATCCAGGACTAAGTGCCAGGCACTGTTCCTGGTGCCAAGAACCCAGAGAGGAAAAGGATCTTGCCTCAAGGTGCCAGGGGTGGGGAGCCAGGCCTGCCAACAGCTCCTCCTTGTGAGGACACAGTGGTGCGGCGGGCGCTGCGGGAGCTGGGCTGGCCTGGCGTGCACGTGTGCATGGGGCGTTGGGACGTCAGAGGAGACTGAGTGGAGTCATGGAGGGCGAGCAGGGTGGAAGGAGGCGGGCAAAGGCGTTTCTAGAAGAGGCACCAGCGTGGCAAATATGTGTAAGAAGGAACGGGCGTGGCGTGCGGGCAGCCACAGAGGAATGCGGGGCTGGGGCCGGCTGGCTTAGGGGCTGCAGCAGTGGTCCCCGCAGCTGGGTTATCTGCTGCCCTGGGCCTAGGAAGGAGTCTGGACACCTGGCTTGCAGCCCAAAGAGCCACCTGCCCACCAGCCCCGGGCAGGGGAGCGCTTTCCCCACCGTCACCACCCACATGCCAGGACCTTACCTCCCCGCAGCTGCCCGCTCCCTCTTCCTGCAACACTGTCGCCGTAACCTGGTGCCAGCCCCCAGGGGTTGGCGACAAGACTGAGGGGTGCCCTCGACATCCTCCCCTAACGCCTCACTGTACTGTGACGACCCGTCGGATGCCGGGCCTCTGCTCCGTGCTGCGTGGCTGGTTCTGCTCAGCACAGCCGGGTTCTAGAAATCCTGCCCATCACTTTGATGCGCTTTGTGATGATTGCAACAGAAGCAGTTTTCACCTTTCAAATGGAATCACTCCCACGCTCTTTGGAGGCCTGGGCCCGGCCCACAGCCCTGGCAGCTGGAGGGCTGTCTTGTGTGGGCCTCGACCTCTGTCGGATGGAGGTTGTTGGGAGAGCCTTAGTCTCTCTGAGGCTGTGACTATCCCCTCTACCCTCGTGCTGGGCTTCAGCCTGGGCAATCGCTCCATCCCTCTAAGCTTCAGGTGCCCCATCTGGAAAATGGGGCAAGAACACCTCTCTGGAGGGGTGGCTGTGGATTCCAGCACTAGGTGGGTGCCGAGCCAGCAGAAGGTCTGTCTGACGCAGAGGAGGGCTCAGGTGCGGGTCCCTTCTTTGCTGCCGGCTCCCGGCTCTGTGAGGGGCACCGTTAACCACTGTTTCCTCGCGGCTGGGGCGAGGTCCACACTGCAGGTCTCCCCTCTGGCTGGGCTTGTGGAGGCCGGGGTCTGGGGGCCCCTCAGCCCTGCACACTGCTGGGCAGGGATCAGGTGTGCGCTAGATGGTTTGTGTGCCCCCCGCCCCCCCATCCCAGGATGCTTTCCCCGAGGCCCCACATGTATTACTCTGAGCTGCCATAACGAAATACCACAGACCGGCGGTGGGGGGGGGGGGGCATCAACAACAGAAATTTGTTTTCTCGCTGTTCTGGAGTCTGGAATTCCAAGGTCAAGGTGCCAGCAGGGTTGGTTTCTGGTGAGAACTCTCATCTTGGTTTGCAGATGGCTGCCTTCTTACCGTGTCCTCGCGTGGCCCTTCCTCTGTGCTCATGCAGGGCGGGCTGGGGGCTAGCCCAGGTGTCCCTTCCTCTTCTTACAAGGACTCCTGTCCTAGCCAATCAGGACCCCACCCTTATGACCCCATTTAACCTTAATTACCTTTTTTTTTTTTTTAAAGATTTTATTTGTCAGAGTGAGAGAGAGAGCACAAGCAGGGGGAACGGCAGACGGAGAAGCAGGCTTCCCACAGAGCAAGGACCTCGATTCGAGACTCGGTCCCAGGACCCTGGGATCATGACCTGATAGAAGGCAGGTGCTCAACCGACTGAGCCACCCAAGCGTCCCACCTTAATTACTTCTTTAAAGGCCCTATCTCTCCATACAGTAACATTGGGGGTTAGGGCTTTAATGAATGAATTTTGAGGGGACATGGTACCGTCCACACACCAAATTTCAAAGCCCGTCCTCTCCCCTCAAGGAACTTGCGTCCTAAGGTAGGCAGGACCACGGAAGAGACTTGGCAATTCAAAGCAGTCATGCCCAGAGCCATGTGCATCCTCCAGGACCTCTGGGGAGAGAGCTGTCTTCTGACGGGGGTGACAGGGGGTGGAGGCTAAGAGAGGGGTGCAGTTTTAGGGGGCATCCAGGTTGGGCCGTGATGAGAAATCATGGGTGAATGTCCATAATGCCCAAAGCAATCTATAGATTCAATGTAGTCCCTATCCAAATTCCAATGACACTTTTCACAGAAATAGAACAGACAATTCTAAAATGTGTATGTAATCCCAAAGACTCAGAATAGCCAAAACGATCTTGAGAAAGAACAAAGCTGCAGGCATCAGGCTTCCTGATTTCAAACTATATCACAAAACTATAGTAATCAAAGCAGAACGGCACTGGTATGAACCAGACGCACAGATCAATGGGACAAAAGAGAGAGCCCGGAAATAACCCAGGCACTACGGTCAATCAATTTATGACCAAGGAGCCAAGAATACACATGGGGAAAGGGTGGTCTCATCAATAGACGATGTTGGAAAAACTGGACAGCCACATACAAAAGAATGAGACCGGACCCCGATCTCATACCACAAACAAAAATTAACCCAAGACGGATTAAAGAGGAACGCCTGGGTGGCTCAGTCGGTTAAGTGTCTGACTTTGGCTCAGGTCATGATCTTGGGGTCCTGGGATGGAGCCCCGTGTCAGGCTCCCTGCTTAGCGAGGAGTCTGCTTCTCCCTCTCCCTCTCCCTCTGCAGCTCCCCCTGCTTGTGCTCTCTCTCTCAAATAAATAAATAAAATCTTTTTAAAAAATGGATTAAAGACCTGAGATTAAAAGCATAGGACATCAGTCTTGGTGATGACTTTATGGGTTTCACACCCAAAACAGAGGCAACAACGGCAAAAGCGAACAAGCAGGACCCCATCACACCAACAAGCTTCTGTAGAGCAGGAAACCACCAACAAAGTGAAAAGGTAACCTACTGAATGGGAGAAAATATTTGCAAATCGTATCTCCGGTAAGGGATTAAGATCCCAAATATATAAAGAACTCATAAAACTCCATAGCAAAAAGCCAAACAATGCGATTCAAAAATGGGCAGAGGATCTGGATGGACATTTTCCCAAAGAAGACAAACAGTTGGCCAGCAGGCACCTGGAAGGGGCTCTGCCTCACTAAGCATCAGGGAAATGCAAATCAAAACCGCTGGTCCCGCATGCAAGGAGGAGGAGGCTGGCTCTGCGGATGTCCAGCGTCAGGCCTCCTGCTCCGCAGTGGACTTGGGCAGTGGACTTCCCACTTGACAGATGAGTTCACCTGAGGCTCGAAGTAAGCTATCAGTGACTTGCTGGAGCAGACTAGCACGTTTAGTTAACATTCAGTTCGGGTCTGGCTCCAGAGGCCGTGTTCCCTCTCTGCCTCTCTGCCCTTAGCTGCTTTGTCCTGAAATCATCCAGCGGCTGACTGAAAATCTATTGAAAACCTGTTCCGTGCTGGAGTGCGTGAGAGTTTTAAGGGCTACAGAGATAAGCAAGACCCGAGGGCGGCGGAGATACACAGGTAAAACAACCCAGGTAATTCGGAATGATAGGAATTAACTAGAAGCCGGGGTGGGTGGGGAGTGGGCCACTCTGCCTGGAGCCAGGTTGCACGAGGCCAAGAAAGCCTTCAGAGAGGAGGTGGTTGCTGAGAGAGCGGGTTTAGGGGGGAACAGGTGATCCTCCAGATAAAGGAGCAGGGATGGGTGGAAGAGGGTGGAGGAGCGAAGTAGGTGAGGATGCGGGGCTCAGAGCCGCCGTGTCCTCTGGGCACACGTGAGCAGGAAGGGCAGGGAGCCCGGGAGACAAAGCCGAGGGGTGCCTGCTGAGGCGCTTTGTCTTTGGCTCCCGGGCACTGGGGAGCCGTGGGGGGCTTCCAGCAGGGAAGTGGTGAGTGGGACTAGGTCCTTGCTCGCCCCGTGGCAGCTGTCCTGGGGCGCTTGCTTTTGGCACCTCGCGCTCCGCAAGGGCAGGCCGTGGCTTTTGCCCGTCGCTGGGACT